ACACACACACACACACACACACGCTCCCCTTTCTCCATCTCTATCTCTGCGCCTTTCTCGCCCTCACTTTCTCCCTCCTGCCTGTTCTCTGCTCCCCGCTCCTGGCTGCCCCCGCCGCCGCCAGTTCAGGGGACGTGTGCGGAGCGATTGTCCTGGGGGACATTTGATGGATTAGAGCGCTGAACAGTTCCATTGCTAAGGGACCACCTGATCTCCTCCAGCCTGCGTCCCATATAAAGCCGGCAGCCGGAGTGCTGAGCACAGCTCCACAACCGCCTGTCTGCACGCCGCCGCCGCCGCCACCGCCGCGGAGCCGAGCGGGAGCCAGAGCCAGAGCCAGAGCCAGAGCCTGAGCCTGAGCCGAGCCCGAGCCCGGCCGGGGCCGCCGGGGCCGCCCGCCCGCTGGGAGCTGTCCAGTGCTGAAACCCCGAGCGTACAGCCAATCCGCCCGCGGGCCGCCTCCCCCAGTCCGGCTCCGCGCAAGTGCCCCGAGCCCCCGCCAGTTGCAACATGCCGCGCTCTTTCTTGGTGAAGAAGATCAAAGGCGACGGCTTCCAGTGCAGCGGGGTGCCGGCACCCACCTACCACCCCTTGGAGACCGCCTACGTGCTGCCTGGAGTCCGGGGGCCTCCCGAGGACAACGGTGAGTGGGACCCAGGGAGGCGGAGAGGGGAGGGGAGCTCGAGCCCTCCCCAACTTGGGCCACGAGGAGAGGCGCGAGTGGCTGGGAACCCCGGAGATTTCTCCTCGGCCGTGCGCGCCTCCCGGACTTCCCAAGGGCCGGCGGGTGGGGCTGGGGCTCGGCTATACAAAGGGAAAGTGCGGGGTCGGCCCATCCCGCAGCCACCAGCCAGCTGGGACTTTGAAAGTTGTGGCCGAAGACAGGGCTGGGTAAGGGGTGCTGAGGGAACACAGACAGGAAGCTCGGAAAGGCCGTGCTGGGGACAAGCAGTTGGAGGGTATCTTCCTCTCCCTGGCTGAGGGACAGGGCTGGCTGCCTGAGCGTGCCTAGTGGGGAGGCAGAGGGGTCTGGACTGCCAGTCTCTGGGAGATGGGACTAGCTCTCCGGGGGTAGATGGGGCCACCCTCCTTCCCTTCAAACCTTCTCCCTCCCTTCAAACCTGCCCCCCCCCCGTAATCCCAGACAAGTGCTCTCAGACCCCCTCTCTCAACAACTCTTTTGTTAGCCTCAGCCACATGCCTGCCAAAGGCTGGGCTGTCCTGGGGATGGCAAGGAAGAGGGGATTTCTGGAAGGGGTTCCCCTACAGTGGCTCCTGGTCCCTAGACTACACTCCCTCCCACCCTCAGCTTCTCACCCCTCCAGAGCCAACCCCAAGGCCCTTTATAAGCCTCTCGACCCCTTGCCCCACCCCCACACTCTCTCTTCTCAGAGCAAGGTCCTGCAGGGACCAGGGTTTGGAGGACAGAAGAAGGCATGCCATCAGGCCCCACATGGGGCGATCTCCGCAGGTCAGAGAGCAGAGAGTGTTTCTGTGGGCCCCATCCTCTACGAGGGGATCACAAAAGGGTTCTCTTTTGACGGCCCCCACCCAGGTGTCTGGAGCGGAGGAGTCCCTTTGGTAGTGAGAGATCTGACATCACATGTGGCATCAGCTTTGAGAAGAGAGAGAGAGAAGAAAGGGCTAGGAAAGAGGGGGAGCTGAGATGGAAAAGACAGGGGTCTGTTTCAGGGATTTCCAAGCGCTTTACTCACATTCCAATACTCTGCCGTGCCAGGTAGAGAAAGAGTGCTGGGCAAAGGGCTCTGTAACCTCATCAAGGTCAAAGAAGTCAGGGAGGGATTAAGGACACCCTCAGCTCCTGGCTTTCCCCATTTACCTAGCAGAATCCCCTTCTCTTCTGCCCATGTGTCCCTTATTCTGCTACCCTCTGTCCTGGGCCCAGGGCCTCCTGGGGTGAAAGACAGAAGCCCAAGGATATGGCCTGGCTGACGGTTGGCAACACAGAGGGTGGACCTGGGGCCATGCCAAGGCTGGGCACTGGTAGAAAATGAAGTATTAGCAAGACTGGGATATGGATCCCTTAAGGGACTGACACAAAGCTCCCAGATCCCAGTCCCTGAGGCCCCTTGGACCTGTCCCCTGCCAGCTGAGAAAACCCATAGTTCGCCATGCACAGAAAAACTGCAGGCTGTGTCTTCAGAGGGAGGCAGGAAAAAGTCTTGCCTTGAATTCACTCCTGAAAGGCTTTAAGAGGAGCCCCTTGGTGAACTGTAGGAGCAGCAGTGTTTCTGTGGAGGTTCCACCAGCTCTGATACCTGAAAAACCCCACCCTCATCCCTTTCTCCAGGGGCTCCAGATCACCTCACGGGCCTCAGAGATTCTGAGACTGTCCTGATAGCCTGGCAGGCATGGGTTTAGTTCACTTGCTGTGTGACCTTGGGCAAGTTCCTTTCCTTCTCTAGTCCTCACTCTCCCTAGCAGTCAAAGAGTCTGGATGTCATGAAATAAGCATCCTTCCAACTTCAACAGGCTCAGAGTCTGTGAAGGTCAAGAGTGGAGTGGGAGGCCCTGTAGACACCTGGATGAGGGTCTAGCAGAATGTTAGGAAGCCGTTGTCAGGGTTTTCTTGGGGCTCTGTTAAACATATGCTTCTTGCTAAGGGTAGCACAGCTCCTAGGATCAGGCATTTTTCTTAGCTCGATCTGTGTCCTGCAGTAAGGACAGGCCTGGCCACCTTGGTGGTGTCTGCTGTGGACTGTCAGTGCTGGGCAGAGGCAGTTGTCCCTTCAAGACCGGGTAGGACCAGGAAACACAAAGGTCTGCCACATCCTGCTTCCAGGGCCCTGGACCCTTCCTAGAGTGTGGACAGACTAGGCAGTGAGGGCTCCTTCACTCCATGGGGGTGGGTCCTGGAGGTCCTCAGAGAGCCCGCAGGCTCCTGGTGGCCTGTTGTCTCCACTCTGCCGGAAATAACCTTGCTGAGCGTTTGAGGGAAGTGTGAAAAATTGCTGAGCCGACATTTTTTCTCTCCCAGCATGTGTAAGTGTGCTGGGTAAACAAGGAGAAAGAGAGGAGGGGGGATGAGGAGAGAGAAGGAGGAGAAGGAGGGAGAAAGGAGAGAGGAGAGAGGGGAGGGAGGGCCTGGGGCTGGAGATAGTTCCAGTTATTAGAAAGATCCTCTTACAAGCTTTTCCAGCAGCTCAGGGTCAGGATGAGGCTGGGGGTGGGGGCTGCAGAATGCAAATGGAGAGGTTTAAGAAAGCAAAGCTCTTTCCTAACTGATACAGATGCAGGACCCCAAGTTAAAGAGGTGCACCCCCAGCTCAAGGAAGGCCCAGGAATTCCACAGGACTTCCAGAGGCCTCCTCCTCCTCCTCCATACATACGGGCACACACACACACACACACACACACACACACACACACAGAGGACTGCCCTTCCCCTCCCCAAACCCCTCTCTTCCTGTATTCCCCCATACACACCTCCTGCCAAGCACAAGGCACAGCAGGTGTGTGCGTCTGGGCCACAGGCTGCCCCAAACCCACAGAATCTCAAAATAGGGGAGGGATGCCCCCAAGTGGGAAAGCTCCAGGTGTCTCTGCAGAGCTCCCCAAAGAAGGAAGACCAGATCTCATTTCCCTGCCCCCTCCAGCAAAATGCCTGTCTTCTCCCCCTGCCCCTCTGCTCCTCCATGCAGCCTGCCCTTCCCTCTTCTCCCTGGGGCCACTCTGAGAACAGACTCAGTCTCTGTGATATGCCAACTCACAGCCTCCAGACCCCCTCAGAGCCATGCCCTCAACTCCCCCAAGCCCACCCCTTACAGACCTAGGCCCCCTCAGGCAATGCTGGGACTCTCAGCCACCCTGGAGAAGGTGGCTGCTCATCCATCTGCATGTCAGTGGTCTCCACGGACCCCTGTCAGGGGCATCTTCTGGAGCATCCTCCTTTCCTCGAATTTAATGCCAAACTCTAGCCAGGAGCCAGCACTCCTCCCTCTTCACCCCGGCCCTGTCCTACCCCCATGCCCTCTCAAAGTACATCCGACCCCGGCAGATGAAGGATCAATGCCAATCCAATAACGCAGTTGTCTGCCCTCTGCAGCTGCATTAAGCCTCCCCCCAGCAAGCTGAGGCAGCGCTCCCACTGCTATCCAGGGGCTTAGCTAGTTGACCACATCATATCAGCACTCACTTCCTCTCACTCCCCCTGACGGCGCCGAGTAGTCGCTCTGTTCGGGCCTGGGATGCCCGCCCAGTAGCCCCAGCTGCTGCACACCTACCCCACACTTCAGAAAGTTCATGTGGGGCACAGAGCACAAACAGGCTACCCAATCTCTTAGCAGAGGGAGCCCACAGAAGGCTGGAGAGGTGCCCAAGATCACATAGCCTATCTGAGTCTTGTGTAATCACCACATCCCTTAGCTTCCTTATCTGGGTTGAGATTCAAGGTCCAGGTTGACATGCCAGAGGTCCAGGTTCAAAGGCTACATCCAGGTCCAACATCCAGGTCAGTGTCCAGGTACAGATCTGAGTCCAGGTTCAATGCCCATGTCCAACCCCAGGTCTAGGACCAACACCAGAGACTAGTCCAAGGTCAGTGACTGAAGTTATACATCCAGGTCTGATATCCAGGACAAATCCATGTCCAAATTCAAGTCTGAATGTCTGGGAAGTGGTCTAGGTCAACATTCCAGGTCCAGGGTTAAGATCCAGATCCAACTTCCAGTTCAAGGTCATGTGCAGATCCATTCTCAAGACTGGCTGGTTCAAGTCTTAGATCCACCACCATCTTTCTGTGTGGCCTTGGTTAGTCTCCTCTACCCCAGCCTCAGTTTATCTCTCATGAAATCAAGCAGTTGGACTTGACCTCCATTAGCTCTGACCATCTGAGAACTCCAAAGCCTGGTTTTCCATGTCCACACAGGGTTCAGTGGAATGTGGAGAGATGCAGTCTGGGCACCCATGGCTCCCCCTAACATCTCAGGCCTGCAGAAGAGCATGGGGGCCCAAGCTGAGCTTCCACACTTTGGACAGCGTCCATCTGTGACTCCCAAGAGAGGGCAAGAAGCACACTAGAGTCCCTTAAGTCAGCCAGCCAGGTACACAGACCCAAGGCTGTCAGGGGCAGAAGGCACGAGGTCTGGGAGGACTGCTGTGTCCTAAGCGGTGGCACTAAGGGCACCTGAGCCCCCTGGGAGGAGGGGGAGATGCTGCTGGCAGAGATGGGATTTTCAGACGTCCTGGCTTCCTTCCCAGTGGAGGCCTCCCCTGGAGTGACCTATCCACTGTTAGCCTGTGGGTAAGGAGGGATGTGGAATGGGGCTCTGCTCACACCCTCCCAGGGCAGAAAGCAGGGGACTGGAGATGGGTGGGCACTGTGCTACACATCTGTCTTCAAACATAGGCCCAGAAGGCCCCTGGGGATGCACCCCTGAGGGTACAAGAGGCTGCTTCTCCCCACAGGCCTGGGGAATTGAGGCCATGAGCCACTCTCTCCTATCTCCACAATCCCTTGAAAACTCTTTCCTGTCGATTTCTGTAGAGCTTGGACCTCCCTATGGACCATAGGAATGGGGCCAGTCAGGAAAGACCAGAATATGGGGGATTCCAGGAGGTAAGGGGGTGGGCAGAGGCCCTGGAATGCTCTAGAAGCTCCCTCTGCCTGGGTCAGTGGACATC